TAGAAGAGCTGGAGAGGCTCTGAACGGGGTCTTGAGCTGGGCTCAACCTAGAGGCCTCAATGTTAACCGGTCTTTTCATAAGAAAGACATCAATTTCTGAGTATATTGAACCCTGTTTCCTGGGCAAGAAGATACCGGTGACAGACAGAGTTAAGTACTTAGGTAGAATCCTTGAACGGAAGTTATGTTGGAAGCACCACATAGAGGAAAAGATTAACAAGGCACATCGGTGCTGGGCGCTATTTAGAAGAACCATAAAAGTGTAATTATTCCACCTATTGAAGATATGAGGCGGCACTTACAGCCAAACAGCCTCATAATTTTGGGCGAACTGGCCAAAAGCAGTTATAGAACACATCATCAATGTATACTGGACACATTGGAAGGATATACACAATCATCAAACGTGCCCGTTCGCATACCAGAGAAAATATATATCGCAAACTTTGAAACGCGGATCCCAGATAGAATGTCTTGGTCAAGCGGAACTTTAGAGCAAATATCAGTAAGAATCCGTTGCTACACGGATGGCTCTAAATTGGGAGACAAAGTGGGCCTGGGTTTTTTATATTGAAGACCCACAAACAGAAATGTACCACCGTTTACCAAATCACAACACTAGCTTACTGGCTATTGCAATAACGCAATGCGTAAATTGGATTAGAAGAAATATGGCGCCCACAGGGCTTAACATATTTAGCGACAGCCCGAAAGCAATTAAGGCAATTCAGATAAATCACGATAATTTTAGAGAACATTTAGTGAATACTATATAAATAAATTAAATAAAACAGGCCCTATAGTGGCCTAGGTGTATTTCTTCTAATTTGATGTGGGTACATCCTCCTAATAACCTAACCTAACCTAGAAATATCTACTAGTTCAAAATACTAATCGTTATATAGCTAAAACAAAAAAGATCAAAATACTGACTGTTCAATGGATTAGTCCCTAGAAAGGTCAATAGACTGAACTAGAGGTATTTTTCGATGTCAAAAAGTACAATAAGTAGTTCTAAATCTCCCATCACTAAACATGATCGTCACACATCATAAGTTAATTCTCAACTAATACTATGTGATCATGAAAGCTATATTAGTGTAATCGTCGCTTCTTTGATAAATTTTAATTGCAAATTCTAGAAAATATCTGAAAAATTTCGGTTGAAACTGTAAATTTTTATGACAACGAACACACACGTAATGGTGTAAGAAACAAAACAATAACCATCATTTCCTAACCTGATGTTCAAACATGTACCTATTGTCTATAATTGTACGTGTGTGTGTTTCTTACTTTTAAAAGTAACATAACACATATAAAGTTATCCTTTAACTTTATATGTGTTATGTGTATATGTTCATATACGACATATCACATGAACGTGTGTATAGTTTTTCCATGCTTATACATACATTTTTTCGTACTTTCGGAAACAACACAAATAATTACGCATAATTATTCTGCAAATACAACACAGTAAACTTGTGGATTCGAATACATAACGATTTGAAATCAATCAGTTTGTTCAGCGTTTGAAATTTATATTTATAAGAATATAATTTTATCAACAAAAAGAAAAAATATTAATATTTCTGCGTATAGAATCATTAATCATTACGACCACTTTAAACCTTAAGGTTTAGCTATAACTCGGAGCATATATTCTACTCTTAAATGCGGTTTATATGACGTATAAATTGGATCCATAACTTATACGGTTCATACTATATGGGTCTCTAAACATGGGCATGTCGGGTCTTTTTGTGAAAAATTATAAATGTTAAAGACTGAATAACTTTGGTACCTGTTGGCCGATTTTAACAAATGAGTGCATCATATTGTAATGTAAATCTTAAAATTTTATTTGAGGCTTAAAATAAATAAAATATTCTTTTTTTGAGTTATTCAAGGATGAAGGACATTTTCCATTTTTTTAGTCCTTTTGCCAGGACGTCTTGTAATTTATGTATATGAAATGTCAATAACGAGTAATCGAAAGCCAGTCGAACGAAACCTTTTTTGTTAAAATCGGATAACGGGTTCCAAAGTTAGTCAGTCTTCAACATTTATAATTTTTCACAGAAATACCCGACATGCCCATGTTTAGAGACCCATAAAATATGAACCGTATAAGTTATGAATCCAGTTTAAACATCATATAAACCGCATTAAGGAGGAGAATATACTTATGCTTAAGTTTAAAAAAATCGAAGAGGACAAAAATTTAAAACAACCTTTTTTGGTCGATTATATTTATAATTAAGGAAAATAGTGAATTTAATTTGATGTGAAAAAATATTCAATAACGTCTAAAATTTCATTTGTTGGGACATTTTTTTACTCTACTACATATGGAAAATAATTTTCATCAAAAGCTATGAATATTATGGTATATTAAGGTAAAAAAATTACAAAAATTGTGAATTTTAATATTCGGACTTTGACTGTCATCAGAATTTGCCTTTGAACTTAAAACAATGTACATATTTCCCATATGTTCCCAGCAAAAGCTTTAAGATGCAAAAAATAGATAAATATATATAAATATAAAATATAACTGTCCATCAGTTGTGGTTTGAATCAGTTGTTTTCTTTGCTTCGTAATCTGACTGTTTTCTCAATGTTCCATTCATAAGTTATCATTTGCTTTAACGATGGGCTTGAACCACTCTCTAAAACTTAATTGGCAGACTCTCCAGATAAGTTGGGCTACATACAAAATTATTTATTGGGTTATTGCGAAAATTTGTATGAATACATTTTGAGGAGTTATTGAAAAACAAAAGCATGAAATTACAATACATGTTGTCAGTTTAATTGACAGTCTTCATTTTAATATCGTACGATAGCAACAGATACATGTACAATCTTCGGTTCATCAAACAATTGATTAAAATTGTCTCATATACATATATTCGAAAAAAAAAATTGAGAGTGTATTGAAGTTTTAAGTGATACTGTTTGCGTTGCAGTTATTATTCATTATTTAGCTTGTACTGTATACATATCTATAGATAAATGTATCCAGATTTTTTTAGCGTTTTTTCATTAAGAAAACTAGTAGTAGGACGTGTGCAATTAGAATCACTTTTGATTACTTGTTGGCAACCTTGGAACTTGTGATACCACAATCACTCGAAGAACTCGTTTAAAATTAATTAGATTTTTAACCTGTATTCGCATGGGTACAGTGGAACAAATACAAATAACTAAAAAAAATTGAAACTATTTTTATTTCTTTTTTTTAATTTTTTAATATCTTAAAAAATAAATGGGACTAATTATTATTGGTATTGAAATTCTCTATGAATTTCCGTATTCAGTACACTCTTTTAAAACTTGATTGATATTTGTGCTAACATAGATTAATTAAAATTCATCAAATGAGATATATTCTTCACTAACACTACTATCATACAAAGTTTAAAATGTTTGTCTGATAGATCCTCCCATAATTAACTGCATTCATTAATTTTTGGAAAAAATGTAAATGTGAACCGATTATATTATAACTATGTATAATCTGTAGCAGCAATGAGGTTTTTAAAACTTATGACCCGTTTTTTCCCCTACCCTATTTCTTATTTTCATAAACGACTTTCTAAGTCAAACTTTCAACTCTTTCTACTCTTTTGCCGATAAAGCAACATCTGTCATTCTTATTCAATTCCAGACCAAGCAATTCAGAGATAGCAATGAGACAAAATATGAATGAATCGCTTTACCACGACTTTTTAACAATCTTTCATCATCGATCATATTCGATCGTGTTAATAGAGTCGATTTTAACGCCCGTAAGACTCAATGTTTTTTTCTAACATATAAGCGCATGGCATGCAATGCTGTTCTATCTAAATTTATGGGTTGTGTAAATATTAAGGAATTAGAAACTCTCGATGTTTTGGGCATGATAATACGGTGCGATATCCGATGGATCAAACACATTTTGCAAGTGTCGAAAGAAGCATTAGAGTGTATCAGGTTTTCAAAAGAACTACTTCACTATATCTGATCTCCTTACTATTTATATCACTTATGTACATATATCCGACCGAAAATGGAACACAACTCCCATACATATATGGGCCGGAATCTCGAAGTATATTTTGGCGCTACCCGACCTCGTACAGGTGTCAGTAGGGTTTCTAACTCTATTGATTCACTTGAGCACCGCTGCAACGTAGGGTGTATTTCGCTGTTCTATCTATAATACAATGGAATGTATTCCTCTAAAATTAGGGAACTTCCCATTACTTGTATTTCCTTATGCATTCAGGGAAAATTCATTCTTCAGTAGCACTGTTCGTATGTGGAATAAACTTCCTGAAGAAGTATTTCCTTCCAACTTCGATGTAAGAAAGCTTAAATCAAATGTACACAAACACTATTCCCTCTATACTCACTCCCACAATATATTTTGCTAGTTCCAATACAAAGCTCGCAATAGGGAATGACCCCTCCCTGAGCCCTCAAGCTTTTTCATCAAATGAAAAAAAATGTTAAAAATAATTTTTTTTTTTGGATTTTCATCATGAATAATATTTGCGCTAAGTCTGAAATCATACAATTGGAAAGTCAAATGTGGTTGAAACTGCTAATTAATAATCAGCTGTGCAGATGAAACCTTGTTTTCAGGGCATTTAGGTTTTGTTTGAAAAAAATTAAAAATTCATACTATTTAAACACGTTGAATATTTTGAATAATTTCACTTTTTCATAGGATTTGTTTCGAATTATAATGTTATAACAAAATATATAAATAAATTTAGAATATGCAATGGCTTAAACAAAAAATATATTTTCGTTTTTACCTTTTAACATTTATTAAAAAATTTAAGTGTCTATTTGCCACAATTTGTATTAACATGCAATTAATTTTAATCCTTTATAATATGAACACAAGTTAATCTTATATAATACACGTAGATATAAATAGTTTTAATTAAAAATATTTACTTTATTCTCATCGAAACACAATTAACCTTTTTCCATTACAGATGCTGCTGCGGTCAAGCACGTCAAACACATCAAACTATAGCCGGCATCGAAAGCGGTTCACCCGGTGATTTATGGATGCCCACTAAACATACCAGAGCTCAGCCAACAGATGCTTATGGTACAATAGAATTTCAAGGTGGAGCCCATCCAACAAAAGCCCAGGTAAGTAAATACTATAAAAAAAATGTTTTTGTTAATTTTTTTCGATAACATCCTTGAAATTATAATCCATCTATCAATCAATCAAGATTTTTTTCTTTTTTGTTATTTTTGTTAATTTGCACACATTTGTTTATGAGTTAGAACAGATTTATCCTTTTTGAAAAAATAGGTTTAATGGAGGATATTGCAAACATTTTGGCCCTTTCAACTTCATTTGTTTATTTAATGATTTTTTTTCTCGAAATTAAACTGTAATAGAAATATCTTTAAATATCGTAAAAATATTTATTTCCAAGTCCTTCCTTGTTGATGAAATACATATTTATCTAAGAAAGCGTAATCATAAAAATACATAATATTTACCTAATATTATTGTTCCTCTGAAGCACCGTCAGAATGTGTGGTGTGTGTTTTACTGTTCTATCAATATTAAAATGGAATGTTTTCGTCTGCATTTGAGAATCTTGTTTCCTATACTCTCAAATATGTATATAAGCAACAGATTCTACAATTCATTACTATACTGGCGATATAAACTCTACTCCCTATATCTTTCCTCCCATAACCAATATTACTAGTTCCATCATGCTGGTCCAAAAGAAAAACATTTACCGAGAATATTCTTATTTGTATACCCCACATCACTATGTTGGGGAAGGGGTTATTCCTTCAAGCTGGTAAAAGTCAGAAATATACAGTTGATACGTCCCAAAAAGGGTGCTTCGCTACCCTAACCAAAATTAAATTCAATATCACGTGAATAAATTCGCATTCAGGAAGAAGATTGTATTTTTAGTTTCATTCGTTTAGCTTCCACATTATTGAAAATTTCGAAAGTAATATTTGCAAAAAAGTACTATAAAATACATTTTATAGATTCTCATTTATCAACAATTTTATGTTTCTGTGTTCAATATTATATACAATTCAAAAAATATAATTTGATGAATGAAAAAGTACCAAAAGTCCTTTTCAGTAGATTCTTATTCACCAAGGTCCCTAAATTTTATATTTCTCTGTTCAATATCGTAAAAATATCAAAAAGTACCATCGGAAAAACGAAAAAGTACAAAAATCTCTCTCAATGAATTCTCATTTAATAAGGATCGTGTGTCATGCGTTCCGGTTAACCATAATATAGAATCCAAAAGGTACCATTTGAAGAATGGAAAAGTACCAAAGAGTTCCCACTTACAGAATATTATTCAGTCAAGACCATGTATGTTAAAATAAATGTTCCTAGGTTAAATATTTTAGAAAATTAAAAAAGTACAATTTATGATATAAAAAGTACTAAAAAGTTCTCTCTTAAAGAATCTTATTCAATGAGGGGCGTGTATGTTTAATAATCATGTGTTTTGAATTCATACAATGAATATCATTTGAAGAAAGAAAAAGTACCAAAAGTGAAATGAATTCTACCTGAGTGGAAAGTACTAATAAAAATAGTACAATTTGTCCCCTTTCCGCTTCGAAATATACTCTTTGAGAACTAAGTTTACAATATGTTCCGTATTTAAATCTATATATATTACAGATAAAACTCAAACGATTCAATTCTGAATTCATTTGCTCCAGAAAAATTGTGCTTTCAAAAAGTACCAAACAATTTGCTCGAATTTGGTCCTATATATTCGAATTCCAAAATAATATACCAATAGCTTAGTTTGTGTGAGTAAAAAAACTACTTTTTCAAATTTGATAAATATTGGCTCAATGAATTTGATTAAAATAAAATTTCCCGTTTTTCCCCTTTTGGTACTTTTTTTCCCAGTAAAATAGCAAAAATTTTGCTTCAACAAATATTACAGAGTTAGTCCGTAATTTAATAGGAATACTTCAATAAATCGAAAAAGTTTTCTTAATGTGCTAAAAAAAAGTACCAAAAATATAGTTTTCTCCCTTTTACACCCAAAAAGGATTGTATTTAAAAAAAGTACGAAACAAGTGTCTCCTACTTTTGGGAGATATATTCAAAATATTAACAAAAATGTTATTTTGTTTATTAGTTAAAAAGTTATAAAGGGCCAAAAAAGGTACCAAAATCACCTTTGTTACACATTTTCACCCCTTAAAAGTACGAATTTCAAAAAAGTATCAGACACTCATCTGATCATTTTAAGAGTGGATACATGTGCATTTTTCTTGTATCACTAATATTGGGTAAGATAATTAAGAAACCCTGTTTTACCCGTTTTTCCCTTTTTTACCCCTAAATGTACAAATTTCCAACAATTCCTCCTTAGTGGATCTCTTTTATATATATAGATTATATAGTCGAGTCTGATATACATACATACATTTGAAATATCTAGGAAAGTTCGAAGTTTGTGATCTATTCCAATTTTTATAAAAAAGCAGTATTATTTGAGCACGATCAAAAATCAATCAATTTTAATAAAAATCATTAACTTTCAAAAGATTAATAAGATATGACATCTTAAACAATATTTATATATGTTTTCTTGTTCTTTCAGTATGTCCGTTTATCATTCGACACCCGACCTGAATTATTAGTACAACTTTTTACCAAAGAATGGAACTTAGAATTACCAAAGCTTCTGATAACAGTACAAGGCGGTAAAGCAAATTTTGAATTACAGCCAAAATTGAAGAAGGTAAACCAACAAAAAAAAAAAATACTTAACTAAGCGAAATATTTTTTTATAATTTATAAAATACTACAGGAAATTCGAAAAGGTTTATTGAAAGCTGCCAAAACAACGGGAGCGTGGATTTTTACAGGTGGCACAAATACAGGTAAGTTTTTTCTTCAAATATAATTAATATATCATTATTTAAGAACTTGTTCCCGATCTGATCACGAAAAGGTCTGTTAAGCTTTCTATGAACAATAGGGTGCTCCATGGTCCACTTCTTTCTAGGAATATCTCTCAAACGATGTGTTTTAATATACTAAATACATGATAAAAAACATTTTTTTTTTGAAGAGATCCTCAGTTCCCTACCGGCAATTGAAAATCTTGATCTCACTATAATATGTTCAAAGAAAATTTTCTGCAATATGTTCGAAATGGGTCTCAGAAATCGCGAGAATGAAGAAATAGCTATCTGAACTCCTTTGGACAATTTATGCTAAGACCAATAGGTGAAAAGTTACACTCATTAGAATAAAATTATGTATGCCCAACTTTGACCCCCTCTAAGTGCGGCTGTTCTTGACCGATAGAGATGAAAATTTGTGTGTGGCCTACTATCATCCAAATCGGAAGACATCGATTTTAAAAATTGGGTCACTTGACCTATGTATATGTAATTTTGACATTTTAATATGAAAGGGAATATGGCCGGAAACAAAACAATGATAGTCAATAAAAACCTTTACAACATCAACGTTTCACATAAAAAATAGATTGTAATACAAAAATTAAGAAAAACACTTTTAAAATTTGATTATTAAATCTTTAAGTTAGCATAATTAATCTTTTAGTTTGTGTAATTACTTTTCCTTACAAAAGTTCACAATCACATACAACTATTGATACAACATACGACAAGGTTGTGTATTGAAAAAAGGATCTAAATACGGATTAAATTACTTTTGTATTTTAAACAACAAAAACCACTTGTTTACCATTCTGTTGATTTGTGCGTGTGAATAATGTGTTTTTCACCAACAATTATGGTCAAAATGTGTATTTTGTTAAGACCAACTCCAGCACCTCCCACACGTTCAACAATACACGTGGACACAAGTTTATGTACTTGTTTTTTTATTTTTGTGTTTGTTTGGAGGCTTATATTTTTTTTAAATAAATATAAATAATGTCGCTCATTTGCTACTAAAGGGTCATAACTCAGTATTGCAACACATCCGTGGTGTTAAAATCCTAAAGATGATTTTATTTATTATTTGTATAAATGTTATTTAAAAAAGTGAAACTTCTAAAGAGCCTTTTCTCGAAACAATATATTTTGAGTTATGACTCTTTAGGCTGCAAATGGACAATGTTATGTTTCATATCCACTTTTTTACTTTGTTTATTTGTATTTTAGGTGTAACCAAACAAGTTGGTGATGCTTTGCTTTTGGAAGGCCAACAACGGACTGGTCGTGTTGTAAGTATTGGTATTGCACCCTGGGGTATTGTTGAACGTAATCATGAACTTTTGGGTCACAATCGTGAGGTGCCATGTCACAGCATCAGTTCACCCAGGTGAGTCATATAATTGCTAATTTTAGTGGATTTTCTTTAACATGAAATGTTAAAGATTTCATTTAGTTTTATTATTATAAATTCATGTACTATACGAGGATAGTTTCAAATGCATTTTTATACTCAGGAATTATAATATTTAGTCTGGCATTTAATGCCAATTTTTTGTACTACTTTAGATGTGGTTTGAAATTTAATTCTCCTTAAATTTTTCTCGAAATTTGTGATTCTGTAAAAGCTTTTTTTCGAAATATATGTGATCTTATAATCGTCGATAAATTTCATAAAATAATATGCTCACCTTAGTATGTTCGTCCAGATCGTTCAAGTAAAGATATCACAGTAATAATCGTAAGTGTTGAAGTAGGTCCGAATCTTAAGTTTCAACAGAAGGGGTTTTCCCGGTCTTTTTGACATAAAAAATGGTATATAAATACCCAGCAAAAACTTACATTGCAAAATAATGAGTTAATTCATTACTGTAACGCGGCAATATTACTTGAATCAGTTACTAACTATGTACGCTTGCTAATACCTAGTTAAATAAGTCATTACAAATACGTAGTTAAGTGAGGTGTTTTGTTTAAATTAAATAAAAATGTTAGTTGGCTAACGTATAACAACACCAATGGTTTTTACACACATATACTATTTTCTCTTTTGTTTGTGTAAAAAGCATTTGCTAGCACTAAATTGCAGAAATTTTGTAAGCCAATACTAAACTACTTAAAAGTAAAGGGTAAATATCAGTATTTGGATACAAAAAATAAATCATATTAGACGATTTTAGGATCATTGCATCATTAACTACTTATAAAGAAAGTTATAAACTCACGGAGTTTTTGAACTGCTCTCGTATAATTGAATTCAAACGTATTCATATTGGGAGACACAGTGGTCTGGGTGTGTAGTTATTCTAACACGTTTTTGGGTTTTTCACAAAAGCCAAACGTTTGAAAAATCTTTAATACATTTACCCACTGACAAATTATAATGAAAATTTATTTATATAAATTATGATTGAAATTAATGAAGATTTTTGGTGCTAACAGCACTTAATAAATATTAATACTATTTGCGGTAAAAATTAGTCATTTTCTACTGGTAATAAATTATAAAATATTTAAAAATTTAGCTTAAATTTGATTTCAATATGATAAATAATTATAGTTGCTACTTTTGGCTTTGTCCATCATTTATAGCATTTTTAAGAAAAGTATTTTGGGACACCCCTAAGAATTTATCATTTCTTTTAAGAACTTATTTATATATCTAGACTCATTAATTGGTTTTAAGCTGTAGCAACCCCAAACGTTGAGATTTATAATGTTCCCATAAAAAAAGATTTAAAATAAAATTTTTCATTTCAACAACAAAAGCTACAAAGTGTTCATAATATTTTTTTTAATATTTAATTTTTCATAAAAATCATAGACCATGGTATGCGTTTAAATGTTTTTTGTAGGGGTTGAGTTGAGTTTATTTAGTGTATTTTATTACTCATCTACTGTTGCGTATGAACAACAAAAACAACAACTAAATTATTGATGTTCATCATACGCCTGGGGCAGCGAGAAAATGGAATATAAAATTTCAATCTAAACAGCAGGACTTCTTTTTACAACGATTAAGCAGCGTTTACACACATACACACACACTTAGATGCAACATTGTAATAACAACTAAAAAAGACAAAGAAAATACAATCAACTGTTTGTTTATTCTACATTCTTTTCTCTCTGTAAATAAATCAATTTTATTATTTGAAGCACAATGTTGTTGTATAAGTTTTATACAAGTTTATACATTAGGGGACCAATTTTATGTTAATATTTTAGTTCTAATTTATAATGTTTTTTTTTTTTAGTTTTAAAGTTTAACAAATTTTCCTGGTGTCTTTTTCTATTCCATTTGATGTTTTTTTTCTTAAATTTTTATATTTAGATCCAAATTGGCTGTGCTAAATAATCGTCACGCTTATTTTCTTTTGGTCGACAACGGAACACAAGCAAAATATGGTGCTGAACTAATTTTAAGAAGAAAATTAGAAAAATTTATATCAAACCTTAAGCTGCATCCATGTAAGTATTATCTCTTACGTAGATAATAAGATGGACAATTTTCTTGATAATTTTCATGCAAATTTTGAGTTGAAACGTTAAAATAGTTCCACGTTAATTTATTTATTAATTTTCTCAAAAAAGTACCCGATCTTTAAAAGTGGCCATTAAATGGAATTATATGCATAATACTACTTGTTTGCATTTAACACAGAAGTAGATAATTTACACATTTATATAGGTCAATACCTATAATCATGTGTTTGGGTGTCTTTTCTATTTGTCTAAATTGTACTTTTATTTTTTCACACGTCTCTTCTTTTCTCCAATGAAATGTATCTTTTTTGTTTTATATTCATCATACCGTTTTTGTCTTATTTAATTTACAGTTACACATTCCAGTACACCCGTAGTTTGTCTTGTTATCGAGGGCGGTACAAACACAATACGTGCAGTTTTAGAATACGTGACGGATACACCACCCGTGCCTGTGGTAGTGTGCGATGGCTCTGGGCGTGCTGCCGATTTAATAGCTTTTGTTCATAAGTAAGTTTAACAAACACTTATATACATGTGTATGTTTGTACACTGCAAAGCAAGCAAACTGACAAACAAATATATTAAAATTTATATTAATACATACATAAACAGAGAAACTCAAATATTTGATTCATTTGCACAAATATACACACATACAGAAACACTCCCCTACCAATTGATTCGAGAAATTTATTTGCATTTTGCAGCTAAAATATCGCATCCTGTTTGTTATGATGTGAGTGTGTATTTATGTATATGTGTCTGTGTGCATACATATAACATATTGAAATATATACTTACATACATTCTATGTTTGAATTCAGCTCTTTGTAGAAATTTAACCTTCAAATTCCTACAAAGTTTTATGAGCTTTAGTTTTGGTTTAAAACCAATGAAAAACCAAGTAAAACAATTCAGTCTGCCTATATAATACCATACAACTATCTGACTTGCTTCTAATATATGGGGGTAGGGTCTATTCTGAACCTTTCCTCATCAAATTTGGTAGATAGATTATAGTTTCCATAAAACTTGTTTCTAACACGTTAAAGTCATTTTCTGAAGGGGACCTTATATGGGAGTAGCGTCAATTATGGTCCAATGGCCGCCATATATTACACATAAAACTAACTTGTGCAAAATTCTATCGCGATTGCATCTTATTTATGAATGTATAAACTGTCTTCCGTGGGTGCCATTTGTATGGGAGCTAGGTGAAATCATGGACCAATATTCAATATCAATACCAAATAAACCTTATCAATAGAGAATAATTAGGCAAAAGTTCAGCCCTCTTGCTTCTCCAGTGTGGTCCCTATCGTGATTTCAACAGACAACAATATAATACCGATTTTTGAAGTGATACAAGAACATTTAATATAAGTTCAAAAGCCCTATTCGTGGGGTACGGATGTATGGGGGCTATACGAAATAATGGACCGATTTTAACCATTTTTAAAAGGCTTTGTCCTTGGGTCAAAAGAGTATGTGCCAAATTTCTTCCAATTATCTTGAAAATTGCTACCTGTAGAGTGCGTACTAGGTTTACATAGACACACAGACGGACAGACAGACGCATAAACGGACGGACGGACAGACGCACAGACGGACATTGCTAAATCGACTCAAGAAAGTTATTCTGAGCCAGTTGATATACTTTAAGGAGGGTGTAGGTCGAATATTTTTGAATGTTACAGACATCAGCACAAACGCATAATACCCTACCCACTATAGTGGTGTAGGGTATAAAATTAACTAAAGTACTAAATCATAACATTGTTCTTCCTAATTGCATCCATTTTTAGAATTTTCTTTCTTAATAAATAATTCAAAAATTTGACTGAAATATTTTTCCAATATTTTCTCTAGACTTAGACGGTTTAAATAAGAAGCCATATAGTTTACATCAGGAGCAAACACGTTATAAACTATTGTTGGAGGAAAATATAATTAAACCGTTTATTTTTACAGCCTATTTTAAGAGCAGAGACGATTAGTTTATTTTAAGGTGGATGTATAATGTTACAAACATCAGCACAAATGCATTATACTCCCTCCACTATACATATGTACATAGGTGTAGAATATAAAAAAAGTTAAAATCATAAAATATACAACACTATGTTTGTATTGTTTTATAACTTTGATTTCTATGAAATCACAGTGAAAAACATTTTAATTTAATTAAAAGTTTATTAAAAACAAAAAAGGTTCGTTCATTATTTTTAGTAGAACAAATGTATGAATCAGGTCAAACAGAGTTTTTCATTAAAAAAATATTTGCTCGGTCAATGTCGTTTATATTTGGTAGCAAAGGAATTAATTTATAAAATTTTATTTATGCTAGGAAAATGCTTAGTACACTAACCCCAACTTTGCAAACGGTTGACATGATGAAGGTATATTATAGAATAGGGTTTCTAATTTCACAGTCTAAAAAATACAAATATGGCTTTAAATCCCTGATCGGCAAAGAGCTTTGTTAAGAGCTTTCTTGCACTCTTAATTTCACACGCATGTATGCTTACACATGTATAAAAAACGATAAAAACCAGTAAGAGAACTTATTTTTTACTCTGTGCCGATGTGGGCTTTAAATTGGTTTCATGATGCTGTACCACTCTGTGATTTGATCACGGAAAGTAATTGTGATCACGGTTTTTGATTAATGTTGCTTAGGTTCATAAAGAAATCTAGTAATCACGGTCACTGTTGTAAAGAATAGCGATTTACAAATCACCTTTACAATGTTCTTTAAATATGTATGTATGTATTTATTTCGGGATTTGTCATGATAAATATTAGAGAAACAAAAATGTTGGGGATATGCTGAGAAATAATTTCGCTTAGAAACCCTAATACATTCTTACAATAATATACATTCACAGATGAAATATGATATTTAACCTCTACTATACAAAAAAAAAAAAATTGACATTTTTGTAATAACTTATTTAATATTTCCTTTAATTACATTAGAAAGGTCATAATTAGTTTGAGACAAATAAATATTAAATTTCAAATTGTACTATTTATTTTTCTAGTAACAATATACGAGATATACATACATACATAATTACTCTTCTACTTCGACTTTATTAAGTTTTGTTAATTAATATTTTGTTTTATTTAATTAAACTTCTTATTATATATAATCAATATTCCTTTTAAAATAAACATCAAATTTCATAACAACCGTGTATAATTGATTTTTGTGCTTACGGCTTTTTAGCCAAAGAAATATTTGTCACAATAATATCTTAATCAATTTGTGTTAAAATTATAAAATTAAATTACTTTATCGGCAACAGCAACTTGTTTAATGTGGAACATTGTTATGTTATATCTTCTTTACTTTTAATTACGACGGAACGGAACGCCTTATCAACATAGCACTCTCTTTGAAAATAATTTTAAAATATGTGCACTCCTCGCCACTTGAATAGCACATATATAAATTTTTTTTTTCAAAGCTTATATTTTCGGATCAGGAATTTCTGGAAACTTGTTTTTTCCCCTCATTGTAATATTTTTTGTTCTAAATAAAATGTGATACGAATGGTTGTCATATCCGAAATATTTGATTTTGTATAATTTTTTTTTGTAAATTAACCGAAAAAAGCTACTGTTAAAAATTCGCCACTTGAATAGAACATCCCCCAGAAATAGTGATTTTATAGCAACTTTTGTAATTAAAACTTATTGATTTAGATTATTTACAACGATATAAATTAAACCAAGCTATTTTAGTAATGTTTTGAACCTCCTTGGTTGACTAACACTTCACATATCCTGTTTGGAAGTGATTCATATAGCTTGGCCATGTAATTCAGTTGTACTGAGCTCCAGACTTCTTAAATTGCATTGATTAGTTCAGGAATTGTTGAATACTGTTTTCCAGACTCATAAAATTTCCGGGCAACCCATTCCCACAAGTTTTCTATAATGTCTATAAGTCTGGTGAATATGGAGGGCAGCTCAACAATTCAACATTTTGGAACTCTATATAAGATTTTGCGAACCGGGCAGTGTGGATCGGGCGTTATCTTTTTGTAGGATCCAAGGGCTAGGTCCATTTAGGTCATTGAAAACCGAAAAAAGCCTTTTTTATTAACCCAAATTCTTAAGCTTAAAAACTGAAGCTCGAAGGTGCCATAATAGGAAACTGCTCCCCAAACCATGGCACCACCAACACTGCTATTTTCATGACCTTCGGAAGGAACCATATTATATGGATCATCTACATAGCAGTGTTGGTGGTGTCATGGTATGGGGAGCAATTTCCTATTATGGCACCTTCGAGCATAAGTTTTTAAGCTTAAGTGTAAATGCTAAGAACTACATTGGGTTAGTAAAAAATGCCTTTTTTGGTTTTCAATGACCTATATGGACCTAGCCCTTGGATCCTACAACAAGATAACGCCCCGATCCACACTGCCCGGATCGTAAAATCTTATATAGAGTTCCAAAATGTTGAATTGTTGAGCTGCCCTCCATATTCACCAGAATTAAACATTATAGAATTCTTGTGGGAATGGGTTGCCCGGAAAGTTTATGAGTTTGGAAAACAGTATTCAACAATTCCTGAACTTATCTATGCAATTTAAGAAGTCTGGAGCTCAGTACAACTGAATTACATGGCCAAGCTATATGAATCACTTCCAAACAGGATTTGTGAAGTGTTAGTCAACCAAGGAGATTCAACACATTACTAAAATAGCTTAGTTTAATTTATATCGTTGTAAATAATCTAAATCAATAAGTTTTAATTGCAAAAGTTGCTATAAAATCACTTTTTCTGGGGGATGTTCTATTCAAGTGGCGAATTTTTAACAGTAGCTTTTTTCGGTTAATTTACAAAAAAAAATTATATAAAATCAAATATTACAGATATGACAACCATTCGTATCACATTTTATTCAGAACAAAAAATATTACAATGAGGGGAAAAAACAAGTTTCCAGAAATTCCTGATCCAAAAATATAAGCTTTTAAAGAAAAAATTTATATATGTGCTATTCAAGTGGCGAGGAGTGTATTTCCCAACGTTGTTTTTTTAGAACTTGATTAAATTATTGCTAAACATTTTACGTATTTTCTACGAAACCCTTCAATTTAAAATTTCAGACAGGTCAATATTATTAGATGCGTTCACTATCCTTTTTGGAGCTTAGTATTAAAAAATATTATTCTAAAATTATCATAATTTTATGAATCTAGTTATTAAATACTTGTAAACCTTAGATTTCCACTTAATGTTGTTCATGTGGCTGTCACATGACTCTAATGCATTGTGGTTTCGTCTGTTTCTGTCAACAACTCGGTGTTCTATGAATTAATTAAATTGGCCATATTTTTGTATACTTTTACATCTGTTTGAAGTTCTTATGTACAACTTTTTGTTTGTTTTTAGTCCCCTTTTTCATTTGTATTGTCTTGTTTACTTGCGCCAAGTGATGAGAATTCCAGTTAAACTACGTTAAACTCCTTCCAGCGATCCTTAAAGCCTCCCTCAATATTCTTCGGTTTTGCCACGTTTGCAACAATATTTTTTTTTTTGTGGTGAAATTAAAAACCGCAATAAAAAGTTGATGTTATACTTGTAACATTTTGACATCTTGGTTACAAGCACATTTAAAGTAACACAAATACACAAACATACCTACTTACATATTCAAATATATTATTTAAAGAAGGCAAATCACTTAAAATTTCACTTTCCTTTTATTTAAAATTTTACAGATACGCATCGGATGGCGACGAACAACCCGTTTTGGAATCCATGAGAGATTATTTAATTAATACAATACAAAAAACATTTGAAGTCGGCTCGGATCAGGCTGAAAAACTTTATCAAGAACTTTTACAATGTACACGCAACAAAAATTTGGTAAGAGCAACAATTATTATTTACTTTTTGCTTCAACTTTTTCTTAAATTTCTCATTTTATTCATTTGAATTAGTGCTGTAATATTCTACTACTTTTGATTACTCAATACTACTCAATACTTTTCGTTTGGGTACTCAATACTACTCGATACTTTTAACGGTTTTATTTTAAATTAAAAACGAGAAATTTTTCCTTTTTTTTAAGAAAAGTTAGACCAGACATCAATAAATATTTGTAACTTTTTAACTATTATTGCAGTTTTTAAATTATTTTTAGATTGATTTGATATTGCTAAGAGTTGCACTTCTAATAATGATATGATCTGTATTAGTTGTAGAGCTGTATTTTTTCACATCATAGCCGTTAAATTTAAATAAGTTAAATCCATATACAAGTTTGAAAGTATTGAGTAACTACTTTTTAGTATTGAGTACCCAAAAAATAGGGCAAATACTCGATACTCGATACCCACTACTCAATACTTTAACAGCACTAATTTGAATTTGAATGAGAGACTGAATGTTCAAATTTGTGTAATTAGGTGATAAATTCTGTGTCTGGAATGTGTGACAGCAAAAATTTAATTATACCTATTTTTTTTAAATGAGCAATTATATTTTAAGATGAGTTGCTAATTTTTTACACATTTACAAGTATGCTTGGGTTTTTTCTTAAGATGAAGAAAGAATTTTTAATTTTATAATTAGTTAATATAATCGTGACATACTGTTATAAAACTGATGTTACATTTTAACAACTATGTAGAAAAATATTTAGCATGACATTTACATAAGTTTCGCATAGGTATATCAGAAGACAATAATAATATATAGTATAGTAATATAGTGCACGATTTATAACCGATTCAAATACATCTTCCAAACATATGTATGAACAAAAGTTTCGATGCGATATCTTCCAAAAGCAACATTTTAATGCAGAAAACGTCTAAGTTTCTGATATTAGTCAATTCTACATTAACGTTTTGTATTGGACCATATATATATTTATATTTCAAATCGGACCAACCAAACATTCAAAAATTATTTGGTTCTATCCACACTTAATATCATAATTAAATGGGCTTTTTATACAATACACCACTATAGTATTATGCTTTTGTGCTGATGTTGGTCCTACATCCACCTTAAATATAGCAATCGGTTCAGAATCACTTTATGAATCGATTAAACTATGTCCGTCTGTGTGTTCATATAATCTTTGTGCGCACGCTACACTTCACAATTTTCAAAATAATTCGATGAAATTCGGCACATACGTTTCTCTTCTCTTATTGAATATAATTGAAATCGGTCCATTATTTCATCTATTCCCCATACAACCGTACCCCTCGAATAGGGCTCTTCAACCAATAATTATGTTAAATGTTATGTCTCTGCAAAAATCGGCACAACTTTTGTTTAAGTTTAATGTTACTGCCAAAATTCGTAATAATCGGGTCTCATTTGACCCTGGCCCCATACAAAGTCCCCTTCAGAAAAGGACTGGAAAGTTAATAATATCGTGATAAAATTTTGCATAAATAACTTTAATGTAAACTTAAATAACTCTAACAACATTTATAAAGACAAGACCAAGTTTACCCTTGCCCTCGTATTACACCTCTTTCAGAAAATCAGTTTTTTATACCCACCATCAATAAATATGGGGGTATATTGATTTTATCATTCCGTGTGTAACACATCGAAATATTGTTTATATACCCCATAAAGTATATATATATTCCGCGTCCTCGTAAGATTCTAAGACGATCTAGTTATGTCCGTCTGTCTCTTGTTGGCACGATAGCGTCCACAAATAAAAATATAGGGAGATGAAATTTTCCCAAAATATTCTTTATGGATCAAAAAAGTTTGGTATTGAAAATGGAAAATAGCCCCTATACAAATGTGTCCCCTCGGAATATTGTGTAAAAAGCTTCAAACATTCACAAATTCGTTGTTTATGAAGCAAATGCAACACAATTTGGCATAAGTCAGGTTTTTATCCCTTGAAATTAAATTCTGGATTATGGCAGACATAGGTCCATAATTGGTCCCATCCCCATATATGTCTCTCTTCAAAAAATAATTATAATGATCAATTGTGGATAAAAAATAACTACAGCAATATAATTCGACATAAACAAGTTTTATAGGTACCGAAATCTTTGTACCACATTTTAAGAGGATTTTTCCATAACTGACCCTACCCCCTATAAAAGGTACCCTGTAGAAATTACTTTAACGTTCATAACCGGCTTCAAAACATCTATAATGCGACGAAATTCGACATAAACAAGTTTTGTATAACCCCAAATCACTCTACGAATTTATGTCGTTCTACAAAATTTTGCCAGGATTGATCTATAATTGACCCTACCCCCCATATATGGTCCCTTTCAGAAAATGCCTTTAACGCTCAATACTGGCTTAAAAATACTAGTAGATCTATTAAATTTGACATAAATAAGGAACTGAAATCTTCCTACCGATTTTGATGAGAATTGGTCCATATATAACCCAACTCTCCATTTAAGGTTTGCTTCAGAAAATTACTTTAACTAATTACTTAAAATAAGATACAAATACAGCGATAAAATTCGAAACAAATAATTGTTGTATAAACAGATGAGGATAGGTCCATAATTGATCCTACCACGCATATAACAACTTCTCTTACAAAAAACCAGTTTATGGTTATAGAAATTGGACAAAAACGATTTGTTTTTAAAAGTTAATATATTAGTTCAGAAGAGCACTATCTATAGTGAAACCCTTATTAATGGACCTCTTTCAAATATTACCCTGATGCTCATATTAATATCGATATATGATAATGGTGGGAATATAAGATTCGGCATAGCCGAATATAACATTTTTACTTGTTTGTCAACAAATCGTTTATATATTTCCACATTTTTACATACTATTCACTGGAGTAGGGTATCATATGATGGGCCATGCCTGACTATATATTCTTACTTGTTTTATTATCTATCATTCTCTTCTGATAAATATTAATAACGATATTATATTTTTTGTCTCTTTTATTTTAATTTTACCACATAATCGTTCTCAATCATTGGATAGATAACAATATTTCGTATTCAAGAAAAGCCTGAGGGTGAAGCCCAGGAATTGGATCAAACCATTTTAACAGCACTTTTCAAATCACAACATTTAAGCCCGCCTGAACAGTTGAGTTTGGCACTGACATGGAATCGTGTCGACATTGCTCGCAGTGAAATCTTTGTCTATGGTCAAGAATGGCCATTAGGTAAGTAGTATATTTCAATGTGTATATTGTTGTTATACTTCTATAATCAAACTCAAATTAAAAAACAATTTTTTATACATATTGTTTTGCCCTTGGTTAGTCGGTTGCTAATACTATGAAATTGCTTTCAATTACATGCGTAAACTTTGCATTAAAATTCAATCATTTTTCATACTTTTTTTCTTTGTCTTTCTTATTGGATTTTTGCCATTAATGCGTACGTATGTGTGTGTGTATGTCCTTTGTCTATAAAGGAGCCTTGGATGAAGCTATGATGCAGGCACTAGAACATGATAGAATAGATTTTGTGAAATTACTTTTAGAAAATGGTGTTTCAATGAAGAAATTTTTGACAATACCCCGCCTTGAGGAACTTTACAATACAAAACATGGTCCAGCAAATACTTTAGGGTGAGTACATTTTATAAACACTGAAATATTTATTTAATTTTTCTCTTTTACAATTGTTTACATTTGTTTTCTTTTTTCACTATTCATTTAAATGATGCGTAAAATTATTATTTATTTATTAAGAAATGTCTTAAATGACGAATTGAGTTGTTTTTTCATTCTGTTTACTTTTAGTTATATTTTACGCGATGTACGTCCTCATATACCCAAAGGATACGTTTATACATTACATGATATTGGTCTAGTTATTAATAAATTAATGGGTGGTGCTTATAGGTAAGTGGTATTGATATTAAATCGAAATGTTGGTGTTGAAGTTATAATAGTTTGATAAAGCTTTAGGTACATTAGACCGACCTTAAAAAAAAGAATTTTAATTAATTTATATGTAAAAGAATGGTATTTCATTCAACGTAAAAATTGTATTTTTTACGTTGTGTTTTCATTCCACAGGTTTCTATATACTCATAGCCACATTGATCCAACGAACTTTTTACCTTTGTTGACATTAACAAACATTACGTATCTTTTGCAATATCCACAAAATCTCAACCAAAAAGAAATATTAGATAAGATTCAATAACAGTATATTTAGTTTCCCTTTTTGTGGAAGCAACTTATAAATGTACATAAATTTTATTATTGAACTTATCTAAAGTCTACAATCTTTGATATTGTCCTTTTGTGAAAATTTCATCAAAGTTTTGTCATTTCATTGTATTCTGACACTCAAACACATAAAGAAATAAACTTACAGTCTGAGACAAAATTGTGTGAATGATGGTCAAATATTTAAACTTTCGGTGATATTTATTAAACTAAAAACGATATTTAAAAAAGTTTTACGTTTTTTAAAACTGTATTTATTGAAGATATTTTTAAACTAAAATAATTAAAAATCCACTTAATTATACTTCAGAAAAATAAAAAAAAAAAATAAATTTAACTCATTTACACATATTTGGCGCCTAGTACTAAAGGAACATTTTTATTATAAATTAACACTTTCTAGTGCCAAATTTTTAGTATTTTGTATCTTCTGTTGGGTTCACGGCAGATTCAACTCTGAAAGTCATAATCTTGATCAGTTTGCCACACATTTCTTGCGTTATGAACGTCCATACTTCATGGCAGCTCTCCCAGAGGTCTGTTGTGTTTTTACTAGAATGGGCTATGAAGCCTCTTTTCACAGAAAGATCAGAGCTCTTCTAGTAGAATTCTCTAAAAGGTTTCAAAAACTGGACGTTTGATGGTATGATAAATGTTATATAGACAGATGAGCCGAATTAATCTGGACCTGATCGGCCAAAGTATGTATATAGAAAACCGAATGCACCATTAAAAGATAGCGACATAATGCCCATTGTGAAATTTAGAGATGGAAGACTTTTATTTTAGGGATATTTTTCATCAGAAAGCGTACGGAAAATTTATAAAATCAATGGTAACATGAATGCCGAAATGTCTACTGATATTATGAAGCCATTTTATCGGGATATTTTTAATAATTGGGGTCAAAACGTTGAAAACACTATAATACAACTGGATAATGACCCCAAATATAAGGCTTAAAACAATAGATTTTTCAAAAAAGTGTTAAAATTTTATAGCTATATTGGCTCCTACAGTCGCCAGAGTTAAACCCGATTCAGAATTTATGGTAAAATAGGGTTTACAATTACGAACACCTATGTAAAAACACAACCGACCTCTGAGTTTCTGTTTATAACGCAAGAAGAGTGTGGCAAACTGATCGAGATTATAACTTTCAGAGTTGAAACTGTCGTGAACCCAAACAGAAGATTCAAAATACTAAAAATTTTGCATTAGAGAATGTTATTTTATAATAAAAATGTTCCTTTAGTACTACGCGCCAAATATGTGTAAATGAATTCATTTTTTTCTGAAGTATAATTAAGTGGATTTTTTATTTATTTTAGTTCAAAAATATCTTCTTTTAAAAAACATAAAACTTTTTTAAATATCTTTTTTAGTTTAAATATTAGACCAAAAGATTAAATATTTTACCATCATTTACACATTTTTGTTTCGCACTGTAAATAAACTAAATAAATACAAATATAAAAGTAAATTTAACCCTTATGTGAATTCTTGGCAAACTTATCTTTTTATAAATGAATTTGAAACTGTACTGAAACTTTGCTTAAAAATTGTGTTATTACCAAATGTAATATTTTTAATAGGAAATAAATGTGAACAAAGTTTTATGGTGTAAAAAATGTACTTGAAATTTAAAATTGTTCCTGTTAAGGGTTTCTAATTTCCCGGTCTTTTTCATTCCAGTAAATTGATAAATAATATTCTTTTATTCCAAATAACTCCCGAGAATAATTTAGTAATTAATAATTTCTAAAACTAAAAGATTTTGTTGAAATAATTAGTTTTATTATTTCATAACATAACTCAACAAAATTTAACTTTAGCATCCAGAAATAAAAAAAAAAAACAATATATTTATTCCTAAGCCATTTCCAGTTTTACCCTCCATAACCCTTTGTAACTCAAATTTTAAGATAGTTTTACGAAACCACAATAAGCCTAGGCCACAGATTGAATAATTACAAATTGTTAACATTTTTATAATTCTTTTAACTTAAAACGGCAAAATTTGTTTCATTTAAACTTTGTATTATCTATTAAAATATTTTAATACATATTTGAGCAATGGTGAGATCCTTTATTAAACAGATTTTATTAAAACTTTTGGGTCATAAAACGCTTATCTTTTTTTGCTGTCTTTGCATTAACGACCTAAAAAAATCAATTAAAAAAAATCAAAGTTTTTTCCGTTTTTTATACTTCTATATTGTTAAGTAAGTAAATTTATTAGGGTTGGTCGAAAAAATAAAAAAACCTAACACCTTTATAAAAACAAATTAAAAAAAAAATATTAAAATCGTGAACAATTTTCTGCATTTTGTAGAAAATTATTTTTGTGTATCGTTTATAAAATCCTCCGAACATATAGCTATATCTTTTCTGATTCTATTACCAAAAGCGGCTTTATTACATAAATTCAATGTGATCAAGTCTTTTGTTTTAGAAAAATCTATAAGGGTCTGTCATCCTCAATTGGAGTTTGTGCTGCCCTTAGCTACATGCTTGGAATGGGCAACATAATCTTTAAGTATTAATTTCTTACCTTATGTTTGGGCTTCTTCAACCAGTTTCATTGAATCCGACAAATCAAAACTAATTGCATTTGGTGTCGGTAATAACTTCTCTCGATTTATGAGATGGGATCTCATCAAACGAGTTCAAGATTAATTCAGGGGTACCGCAAGGCTCCGTTCTTTCCCCTACCCTATTTCTAATCTTTATAAATGACCTTATATGTCAAACTTCCAACTCTATCTACTCTTTTGCGGATAACAGCAGTATCTACCATTCTTATTCATTCAATCATAGGCCAAGCCCTCTAGAGATTGGGGCAATGAGGCGCAATATGAATGAATCGCTTAATCACGACTTGATAAAAATGGGGTTGTGTTAACAGAGTCGATTTTAACGCCCGTAAGACCTCAATGTTGTTTTTTAACACATAAACGCTTGGCAGATATTGTTGTTCCATCTATATATATGGGTGGTGTAAATATTAAGGAATCAGAAACTCTTGATGTTCTGGGCATGAAAACTCAGTGCGATGTCCGCTGGACTAAACACATTTTTCAAGTGTCGAAAGAAGCATTCAAGTGTCTCGGTTTTTTGAAACGGTGTAAGACATACTTCACTCCATCTGATCTTCTTACTATTTACACCACTTATATCCGACCGAAAATGGAATAGAACTCTCATGTATGGGGCGGAGCTTCGAAGTCTATTTTGGAGCTACTCGACCGCGTACAGGAGAGGGCGAAGGTACTTATCGGTGACAGTAGGGTATCCAACTCTATTGATTCACTGGAGCACCGTCACAGCGTGGGGTGTATTTCATTGTTCTATCGCAACTACAATGGAATGTGTTCCTTTGAAACTAGGGAACTTGTTCCCGATACCCGTATATTCTTACGTAACACACGTCTTTCTTCAAGAACACACCCATTTGTGGTAGATTGGCCAGTGGACCGCACAACAAATTACAGTGAAAATTCATTCTTCAGCCGCATTGTTCGTATGTGGAATAAACTTCCTGCAGAGGTATTCCCTGTCACTTTCGATATAAGAAGATTTAAATCAAATGTCCACAAACACTACTCCCTCTATCCTCCTTCCACAACCTATTTTCCTAGTTCCAACACAATGCTTAGCATAAGTAGGGGCCATCCCCTGAGTACTGGTCCAATTAAAAAAAAAACCCAATTATTAGAGTAGTAAAGTATCAGAATTGAAAAGTTTTAAATTTATATGATTTGATCCTGAGATGCCATCCTCATGATCATCGCACACATGCTGAACTCGCAATTCATTATTGGTTGTTTGCCCTTCGAAGGCTTATTGTTGATCAAATCTTCTACTTTATTGTGCTGGTCTTTTGAGATTTTCCCCCTTAAATTACTGGCATTCTATACAGCATAGAACATCTCAATGCGTTTTTCTTTCGCGTTTTTAGGGATTTTATTGAGAAACAGCTCTCAGGGAGATGTGGAATATCTTCTTCAACTTTCTCATCTGTATCCCAGATAGTCGTTTATTAGTTGTCGATAGCTTAACTATACACATCTCCTTCACCATTTGCTCAACTTGTTCCCTTGTAGGGTTTTGTATTATTCTACTGTTATTGTCATCTGAGGATTCAGAGACTAAACACTCACCTGTACTTAAAGGCTTAAAGCTCCTTTCGAATAGATCCTGATGTTTCACCTATACATTTGGCCAAGATAACAAACTCCGTAGTAGTATTTTGCTCACGATCGTAGGATGACGACGACACATGACACATGTTCTAGCGAATAGATCAACTCTTACCGACGGTAGTGGGTAATTTAGGCCCTGAACCGTAACATTAACATTTATTTTTGTTCCTTCCATTATTTGCTTTTTGTTTTAGAAGAACAACTCCGTATCAATTTTGATACAAGGGAAATACATACATATATATAATATACCATTCCTCACCTAGGAGAGTAAATTTTAATAACTTTAAAATTTTGCAGCCAATTTTGAGCCTTTTCTACTTTTTAGAACAATAGAATGTAGAACGTTCTTTATAAAAAGTTAATATTAACTAGAGGAAACTGATTTAAGAAAAAAAAAGTTTAGCAATCCTCCCTAATTTTTTTGTACTTTTGGAGCATCACAAAAAATATGTATTTTTTTATTTAAACATAAATACGGTTTCCTTGTTCTTTTCCTTTTTCAGTTATTTTTGTTGTTGTCTAGACCTATGAGTTTTCAAAAAAAAAAAACTTCTTATGTCAATAAAAAGTTTTAAATAAAGTTTGTTATTGAAATACGAGTTCTCTATGCTCTGTAGGTGGGTCCATTTCATACCAATTTTGTTCTTCCATTAACTACGTAATAAAAAGGAATTATTTAGTTCTATGATGAAAAATTACCATATTTATTTGTTAAGGCAGCCGCCTTCAATTTCCTTCCATTAAGAAACCAAAGATACTGTCAACAGTTTTTTCTATCATTTCGTGTTCATTTCTATTTTTAAAATTTGGTGACGACAGTCAATGGTAATCACATTAAATATATATTCACTCTGTACCGAGAAATGGTACGTTGGATGGAAATTTAATTACAAATTAAATCATGGTAAATTTTAAAAATACATAAATACATACATACATATATTTTTCTTTGGCATGTTTTCGACTTTTATTTATTTTGGCACTCGACTCATTTTTATGACCATTTTTTAGTCATGTATATAATGTTGTCAGATGTACAAGTAAAGGGTTTTTCAATAAGTACGGTTATATGATAACACTCTTTGTCAGCAAGAATGTCTTTTGGTGTCTTCTTACTGGCAATGGATGTTTAGCATTTCCATTTCTATTTAGTCAAGTCATATAACCGATCAGCACGATCAAATTATAAAAATTTATTTTATTAATACTTTTTCATAGTGTTCTCTTACACATGATTTTGAAGCTAAACAGTTGTCTGAAATTTAACCAGACACAACAGCACAACCTTTGCACTAGTTAGAAAATAAAAGAACATGACCTCTGAAGACTACTATCACAGCTGCTTTTTGGAAAACCCTTTTATTTGTAATGGGTATGTAAATTTCAATTGCAAAATTTTCTTGGCGATAAAATCCAACGAAATTTTGCAAGTATGCTGACAATTAAAGAGCAATTAAATATTTAATGGCTCATTAAACCTTAAAATGAATTTGTTTATCCATCAAATTTATTTTTATTACTTAGAACAAGACGTTTAATTTTTACAAGTGCTAAGTACATTCACATCGTACCTTCAACATGTTGTTTATTTTCTTGTGTATATAAAATAATTAATAAACAAGCAAAAAAACCACGACCTCAAGAAATTACTTTTATTGTGGCGCAAAATTTAGCCAACATCTAAGAAAGCCCCCCTTAACGCGTTCTCTGTTCAATTAAATAATAATTTTCCACAAAGATTATGGCTAAAATTGTGGTTGAATGAAACATTAGAGGTTATGCTAATAATTATGCGACACATTCAGACAGATTTTTGAATATGTATCTTGTTAATTAAGCACGAATTATTAACACATTTTTAAGTAAATTACACAATTAACAGTAAATATAGTGTATTTGACCTCAAGATATTGGAGGTCAAATGTTGTAGGTAGAAATATTTTTTTGGGAATATCTTCCGTATTTTGCATCGTGCACGTTCAGAGACAATTAAATATTCTATAGATTATACAATTTCCTACATTTTGGTTGATGATCATTTGTACATGTAATTAGATGTTTTCGAGATATAGTTCATTACTTCTTCATTGCAATTATATGTTTAAGTCTTTATAATTTTAAAACCGATATAGATTATATCATAATTTTTCTCTTTTATGTTATATAAATGAACATAATTATGTAAAAGAAGATAATTAAAATTGTAACCACATACATATCAACACGCAGAATGCATTATGAGTGAAATATTAGCAAAAAAAAAAAAACAGATTTTTATGAACTAAACGAGACTTTTATGACTTTTAGTCCCACAATTAGAACCTCAAGCCAAAGCCCTGAGCAAATTTTTCGACTAATTTTCCTGAGCTAAATAGTTAGGCAAAAGTGTTTCCACACCGAATTCAAATTGTAGAATGGATATCAGAATTACTTATAGATTTATAATTTAGTTTTAAGTATCTATCCGTTTCATGGAACTCCTCAAAATATAACTTGGATCCAGTTAGACTTTATGTTTCTGCATAAATTTGATGAATATTTTGATTTTAATGCTTCAGCTTTGACATTGTGGGGATTTGTAGTTAATGAAAAAGCATTAAATAAATTGTCTGACCACCTTAGTTTGCCATACCCCACTTAAATGGGGAGGGGATTGCCCTATACCCACCAATCCTATACCTTAAAGTATACCAAATCAGCTTACAATCATTATATGAGACGATTTAGCTATGTGGGGAACGTTCAGGTCGCAATTTTAATTATGTACTTATGTTCATAACTAGTCTAGGGCATCATATGGTCGGTCATGCCTGACTATAATTTCCTTCTTGTTTTCAACCATTTTCGATAAATTTCAACAAAATCCACCAATTTTATGCCGAATACATAAGATTAACCATATTATGTTTAATATGTAACTATAATATGGTTACTTGAAGCCACGTGATTAATTGAAACCATAATATGGTTACTTGATGCTATGGTTACTATGATGCTACAACATCACATTATGATTAATAAAACTATATTATGATGAAATATTCGGACTATATTTAATCATAATATGATATCTTATTATATTAATAATGATCATAATACGATATTTTTTGATACTAATAATGATCATAATATGTTTTAACTTTAACCATAATATGTTGCTCTTACATTATGGTTACCACAGCCATATTTTTTCTCTGCGTAATATTATTAATTCAAATGTTATATGTACAAGATTTAAAAAAAAGATATAAAGAACTCGAATTGGTTCTCAACTTACTCGAATATGTTCAGAAGTTTTCACATGGGAATTAAATACGTAATTTTCTCTTTCCTTCATGTCATCTATTTTCATTTCCAAAATCTAACTTTTAGATTTCCGTAATGCAATATCTCCATTTTTCATTATTTTTACAAACACTAGTTTTCCTTCTAAAGTACTAATTTAGCACATTTTCCGCTTTTGGCCGTTGATAGTTTAATGTTCGATATATCCTATTAAAGCTTCCAAGTAAAGATCTACCAATTTCCGAATATCAAGAAAATTCGTCTAGCCATTAAGATGTAAGCAAAACATACAGATTTACAAAGAAATGTACATACATATATGTATGTAATACATATGTATTAAGATTCTGTGTAAAATTTAAAAAAGCAATTCATATTTTTGTTTTGTTTAAAAATCATTTTTCTGGAATGGTTAGTGGTTTTAAAATTTACATACATATAACATAGCCTTTACGAAGCTTAGAAAAAAGCCCAATAAACGTAATACAATGAAATCAAAGTTATGATAATCTATTGCAAACAACTCAAAAAAGATTATAACCAATTTGGGGATATATAAAAGCGCTAAACTTTAACCTACCAAGACCCAAATTGTAAAGCTGTTTAACAAACATTGACGAAAATTAAATAATAGGTTCAAAAATAATAATAAAAAATGACACAATGTTTAAATATACATAACTCTTTAAACAAAAAAACCTCAATTCAAAAGCTCAAATACATTTTTAAATGGTACCCAAAATCCTTTAATGGTTTTGACTAAACAAATATTTAATCATGCCTAGATACATATATTGAAAGAAAAGTGAGACATTATAAAAAAGTACTCAGCTTTTCAAATATTTGTTCCTATTTGTATATTATTTTTTGCAAACAGGAACAATAAAAATTATTGTAAATGTTTAAATCTAATTTGAATTTTATTCTCCTCTTTATTATATTTGCAGATCTTATTATACACGCCGAAAATTTCGTCCTATTTACGCCAAAGTAATGAACAGTTATGCAAATGCACATCGAAAATCCTCCACGTATCAACGTTATGCCGGCGCGAATTCATTAAGTTTGGTAACGGGTCTTTTGCCCTTCACATCGGAAATGGCACTTTTTGAATTTCCGTTTAATGAACTTTTGGTAAGTAGCTATTTATATATGAATATCTGTCTGTCGTTATGCAGACACATACCCAGCAAACACAAAGTTAATAGTTTCAAAATAATAGGACTTTATCAATTGAAATTTTTAGAAAATTTAAAAATTAAGAACAAAATTGAACATTTTGAATAAAAAATTTTATTTTGAAATAAGATATTTATGTATTTGAGAATAATGGTGTATATAAGATAAATTTGTTTTTATATACATTGACAATATTCCTCATTTCCATATCATTCTTAGTTTGAGAATCTTCATGTTTGTTGGTATAATAAATATTCCTTGTTGTTGAAAGTGATTTGAATTTACATACACAAACATTTAAAAATCTTATGAACTTTATTTGTGTCTGGTATTGATTGAATTTTAACAGATTTGGGCCGTGTTAACAAAACGTCAACAAATGGCTTTACTAATGTGGACACATGGTGAGGAAGCTTTAGCTAAATCCTTGGTAGCATGTAAGCTTTACAAAGCCATGGCTCATGAGGCAGCCGAAGATGATTTGGATACAGAAATTTATGAAGAATTACGTTCCTATGCCAAAGAATTTGAAAGTAAAGGTATGAGTATAAATGTAAAATATATTTAAGTGTCTACATATGTATTCCGAAATTTGTTTTAGATGATGCTTTAAATAAACATAGGCATTTAAAATTGTAAAATGTAATGTAATTTATTAAAATTAAAGATTGTATTTTTTGTTAGTTTTAAATAATATGCTTACAATTAATTAATTTCCCTTGCCTTCAAGTATCATTGCAAAATATATAAGTACTTATTTAATAATGTACTACTTACTCTCATTAAACAAATTAATTAATTTTTATTTTTTTTTTTTTTTTTTTTTTTGTTACAACTAGGTATTAAATTGCTGGATTTCAGCTATAGAACAGATGGCGAGAAGGCTCAACGGCTGTTAACGTGTGAACTACATTCATGGTCGAATCAAAGTTGCCTTTCTCTGGCTGTTGCAGCGAATCACAGAGCATTACTGGCACATCCTTGCAGTCAAGTTATTTTAGCCGATCTATGGATGGGTGGTTTACGAACCCGAAAGAATACCAATTTTAAGGTAAAAGATTTTGAATGAACATCTTTATAAAATTTTACTAAGTATTGGACCCATAATTGAACAGATAAAATTCGACATAAGTGTAATAAAATCTGTTGTGTTCAGGATTCAAGCCCCAATAAGACTAATTAGATGCAGTTTAAACAGACATATATAAGGTCCACAGCACATATATAAGGGCTTCAAAATCGGGCGATGTCTTAATTGGAATAAAATGTTTTTTTCAGTTAGGTTAGGTTGATAGGAGGATGTATATTACATCAAATCCGAAGTAATACACCTTTTCCACTGTCGGGCCTGTTGTTCCCTCCTTTTCTTGGAAGAAAAGTGTTTGTTGGTAAAAAAAAAAATACGTTGTGTTAACTGAATGTATTATCTTTCAATATTCAGAAACTCAGTTTCCTGGACGTAATTCCTAATAAGTTTCCAATCAGCGTTCGTGAGGAATGTTATATCCGGAATAGTATCACTCCCAAGATATTTGTATCTAACTTCGACGAAAGCCTGACAGTGGCATTGAAAGTGCTCCAGATTTTAACTGTCCTCTCCACATGCTCTACATTTGTTTGAATCCACACGTCCAATTTTTTATAGGTGTGCCCGTAATCCTGTGTGTCCACTCAGAATACGTCATACATACTAACATCAGACTTGCTCATTCTCTTGTTCTCATTTGGGTCACCCCATAGAATCTTTGTGGTTCTACCCACCGTTTTATTATTGCAAAAGACGTTATGGGATTCTCTCACCCATATTTTTAATTAAGCTTTCGTTGCGTCGAATGGTTTTGCGTTCGTCAGGAAAACTACCTCGAGCTCCCAACCCTTAAAAGCTAATAATTCACGCTTTCGTTGCCGACTACTCCCAAGCGGTCTGGTACCCATATGATGTAAATCTTACCTCTGGGAGAGTATTCGGTTAGAGCTTTCTTACAATCCAATACTGTCTTAGATTTAACTTTATCATCTGATATCGTCCTAATATCCTTCTGGCTGTCGGTAAATATGTTAAGCCCTGTAGGCGCCATATTTATTCGAATTTAATTTACGCATTCCGTTATTGCTCGTACTTCTTCCTGGAAGCTTGTGTTTGTGATTAGATAAACGGTGGTATATTTCTGTTTCTGGGTCTTCAATATAGAACACCAGGCCCACATTGTCCTCCAATTTAGAACCATGGGGATTCCTACTGATATTTTCTCTAATGTTCCGATTGACCAAGACATACTATCTGTGATCAGCGTTTCAAAGTTTCCGACATATTCTGTGTCTGGTATGCGATCGGATACGTCCGATGATTGTGTATAGCCTTTCGATGTGTCCATTATGCATTGATGTCTGGCTTTTGGCCAGTTCACCTAAAGTTATTAGACGTTCGGCAGTAAGTTCCGACTCATATCTTAAATATGTCTCAATGGGTGGAATATCTAGCAAAGTTTCCAGAGCCTTGGTTGACTCATGGTTGACTTATATCCGCATGTGCGCATGTGCGGTCTAATTACACTTTTATAAAAGTAGGACTAAGAACAGTTAAATTAATTGTACGCACATCTATACCATTTCCTTACTTTGTTTTTATTTTAGGTTATACTTGGACTTGTTTTGCCATTTTATATTAAACATTTGGATTTTAAATCCAAAGAAGAACTTCAGCAGATGCCTCAGACTGAGGAAGAACATTTGGAAAATCAAAATTTAGACAATGATGACTCTGATCGTTCACATCCCGATGCTGAGGTAAGTACAATCTTCAACTTTATTCATCAGTGGGTTTAAAAAATAATTCGAAAAGAAATTAAGTTTTTGTTGTTGTTTATCGAACTTTTTTTAATACATATTTATGTAATTCTACTTTGAAATTTATTGTTAGTGTTCCTTTTTAATTATATTTTTCTTTTCTATTTTGTGTTCGTATAGAGAATTAAGTTTTGTTTTTAAATTATGAAAAATTTTATCAAAAAATGATTCTACTTATTTTATACTAAATATTTTATAGATTTGAATCGACAACATATTTTCTATGTTATATTTTTTAATTTATGTATTACAGTGTATTAAGTTTTATTGTTTGCAATTCTTTTGTAATAAAATAATATGAATTAATATTATTTAGATTTAACAAAAGTTTTTTATATATTTTTTTAATATTTCTACTACTTACTTTTACAACCAATAACTTAATAATTTACTTTAATCGTACTACCAAATTTTGTATACTACTGTCGTTTCGAACTACCACTTGTTTTCTAGAATCCTCTTGCGAAAGCGAAAAGATCTATATCTTTGAAATATAGGATGGGCAGTAATAACAATAACGCTGAAAAGGTAGTAATATCTAAAAACTAAATAGTAAATTGTTTTTGTTTTTCTCCGTAAACAAAAAATAATGAATGTTATAATTCATTATCTAAGATTGTCTTTTAATTATTAATTAATGTATTCGTAACAAAAATTGTATGTTTTCAAATAGACTTTTTTGTTCTTTTCTTTCGTGTTTTGACATTAATTTTTTTCTACTGTATTAAATAATAGAGTCTGTAAATGTGAAGAAGAAATGTGATTTGTAAATAATATACTAAATACATATATATTAACATTATTTGCTGTGGTTTCTATATGTTTTACTTTCTATTAAAAATGCTCGTAATATGTATATAGTGTGTACAATTTATTTATTTACTAATTTTTACGTCTTTTTAATAGATAAAATTTTATTTTTTTAAATGTATTAAAACAAATTTCCATTTTATTGATATAATTTAAAATCCGCAAAAAAATCAGAAAATTTTAAATTTTAGTATCGCCACAAATCTTAAAAATGTAAAATCTTAGCAGCTGGGTGACCTATAAAAATATATGAAAAATCTGAGCAAAATCGATATACCCGTGAAATAGAGCATTGGTCATAGTTCCAAAATAATAATTGACTTTATTGACGAAACTTTATTATGATATTAAGATAAAATTTGACACGAATATATTTTGGCCATACATAGCTCACATATACATAAATCCACTTCCGAAAACCACACGTACAGAATTAAATTCTGTTCAATTGTCATTACGGAAACCAATTTTAAGCTTTCAAAATAATTATATAATTAGGGGATTCACACGGTCGTCATAAAATCATATATTATAAAATAATATCACGAAAAAATATGACTGCTAAGAGCAACCCATAAAAGTCAGTCTGCTATCTCAAATTTTAGTTAACTGGTAAAAACTTATTGACCGATTAAAATAACGTTTTGGATTTGAATAACCTAAAGTCTCCTAATTTTACGCCAATAAATAGATTTTTATACCCATCATCAAAAAAATGTTGGGTATATTGATTCTGTCATTCTGTTTGTAACACATCGAAATATTGGTCATAGACCAATAAAAGTATATATATTTTGGGTCCTTATTAAATTCTAAGACGATTTACCCCTGTCCGTTCGTCTGTCTGTTGAAATCACGATAGGGACCACACGGGAGGAGCTAGACAGTTGACTTAAGCCATATTCCAAATATTACCCTGATGTTTATAGAGGAGCATTCCTTTTACGGCATACTTTTTGATAGTGGGTATATGAGATTCGGCACAGCCGAATATAACACTCTCACTTGCGATATTTCATGTAGTTTTGTAGGAAATGGCTTCTTAAGTGAAAAAGAGACTTTTGTGGCTGCCAAATACCGCTTAGATAAGATATTCTAAAGTTGACACTGTCATTCTTATTTTCTTTAAAAATCCTTTGATAATTGACCAATATTTGTGGTTCATTTCTGTAAAAATTTAAATTTTTTGTCCATTTTAACTCATTTCATTTCAAAGACCAATTAATTGCGTCTCTGGAATAATGACATATGGATAGGTCTGGAGCAAATAACGGGCTTGTAGTGTGAAATCATACAAATAGCAAAGCATTTTTCTCCATGAATTTCGCCATATCCGTGCAAAATAATTTTTCTCCTAATAAGCTCTGAAGCCAATTTTTCCAAACCAAATTAACAGTTTAAAATATATTTATTGGAATAAAATTAGGAGGCTATAGGCTATTTAAATCCAAAATTTTATTTTGATTGGACATAAAGTTTTGTTGATATCAACGATTAAAAATTGTTCGATTTTGGTGTGTTCAACCTTTATAAAAAATTGCAAATATTTTTAATAAATATACAATATAAATAAAAAAAAACTTTTACTATATTCTATATTTACTTTTTTTGGGAAAAGCCACTCCCACTCCACTCCCTATGAGCTATTTCGTTTCAAGTGACCCAACTTTTAAAATCAATGTCTTCCGATTTGATGAATCGATGTCCTCCGATTCCTTTAAGAGCTTTGTAGTCACTTAATGAGATGCTAAGAGTTAAAAAATATTTTTTGATAGATATCTCACTCGCATCCCATAAAGCTTTCTTCTGAGCAAAAAAAAGGGCCCATTAAAAAAAAAATAACAATTAAACAAAATTTTTTTGGAAACAAGGAAGCAATAGCTATCCTTTGGACAATTTTGGCTAAATAAAACCCTGTATGAGCAAAATGTAGAGCTTGTGTCTGGCCTACTATCCAATAGTACTAACCTTGATTCTAATTTCATCCAAATCGATTTTTTAAGTTCACAGAAAAAACTAAAAATATGTTTCAATTATCAAAATAATTGTATCAAGCTAGTTTTGCACCTATCACCAAAATGATGATATCAATTATCAAATTTGTAAAAATATTAGGTAGGTAGGTAGGTAGGTTGATAGGAGGATGTATACTACATCAAATCCGAAGAAATACACCTAGGCCACTATCGGGCCTGTTGTGCGCTCCAATTCAAGAAAAAAAAAAAAAAAAAAAAAAAAAAAAAAAATTGTTCACTGAATGTATTATTTTTCCATGTTCAGAAACTCAGTTTCCTGGACGTAATTCCTAAGAATCTTCCAATCGGTGTTGGTTAAGAATGTTATTTCTGGAATAACATCACTTCCAAGATACTTGGATCTAACTTCGACGAATGCCTGACAATGGCAAAGAAAGTGCTCCAGAGTTTCACTGTCCTCTCCACATGCTCTACATTCGTCTGAATTCGCACGTCCAATTTTGTATAGATGTGCTCGTAATCCTGTGTGTCCACTGAGAATACGTACCATCATACTAACCTCAGACTTGCTCATTTTGAGAAGATTTCTCGTCTTGCTCTCATCAGGGTCACCCCATAGAATCTTTGTGGTTCTACCCACCGTTTCATTATTCCAAGAGGCCTTATGGGATTCTCTCATCCATATTTTTAATTCAGCTTTTGTTGCGTCGAATGGTTTTGCGTTTGTCAGGTTAACTACATCGAGCTCCCTTCCCTTTAAAGCTATTACATTCGCCCTTTCGTTGCCGGCTACTCCCGAGTGGCCTGGTACCCATATGATGTGAACCTTACCTCTGGGAGAGTATTCAGTTAAAGCTTTCTTACAATCCAATACGGTCTTAGATTTAATTCTATCACCTGATATCGCACAAATTGCCTTCTGGCTGTCGGTAAATATATTAAGCCCTGTGGGCGCCATATTTATTCTAATCCAATTTACACATTCCGTTATTGCTCGTACTTCTGCCTGGAAGCTTGTGTTATGATTAGGTAAACGGTGGTATATTTCTGTTTCTGGGTCTTCAATATAGAACCCCAGACCCACTTTGTCCCCTAATTTAGAGCCATCCGTGTAGCAACGGATTCCTACTGGTATTTGCTCTAATGTTCCGCTTGACCAAGACATTCTATCTGGGATTAGCGTTTCAAAGTTTCCGACATATTCAGTGTCTGGTATGCGATCAGGCACGTCCGATGAATGTGTATAACCTTCCAATGTGTCCAGTATACATTGATGACGTGTCCTATAACCGTTTTTGGCCAGTTCGCCTAAAGTAAAGAGCCGTTCGGCTGTAAGCGCCGCCTCATATCTTATATATGTTTCAATGGGTGGAATATCTAGCAACGTTTCCAGAGCCTTGGTTGAAGTAGTACACATGGCACCACTTATACCCAAGCAGCATGTACGCTGAACTCCCTGTAGTAGTTTGATATTACACTTTTTGTCCAAAGCAGTCCACCAGATTATTGAAGCATAAGCTAGAATTGGTCTAATTACACTTTTATAAAGCCAATTTGTCATAGTAGGACTAAGACCCCATTTCATGCCTATGGTTCTCCTACATATCGCCCAGCACCGATGTGCCTTGTTGATCCTATCCTCTATGTGGTGTCTCCATTTTAATTTCCGGTCAAGTATTACACCTAAGTACTTAACTTTGTCTGTCACCGGTATCTTCTTGCCCAAGAAGCAAGGTTCAGTATATGTAGAAATTTTTGTCTTTCTTGTGAAAAGACAGATTTCCGTCTTCGCCGGGTTAACATTGAGGCCTCTCGGTTGAGCCCAGCTCAAGGCCGTATTCAGAGCCTCCTCAGCTCTTCTACACAAGTAATTTGGATCCTTTCCCTTTAAAAGTATTACGACATCGTCTGCATAGCAGACAGGTCTAAGTCCTTTCTCGGTTAGGGTCCTTAGGAGGCTATTAATCGTGGTGACCCAGAGTAAAGGTGACAAAATGCCACCCTGTGGTATACCGCGAAATACCTTTTTCCTGATAGTTATATCGTACATCTCGCAGCTTATCCATCTGTTCCTTAGCATGTAGTTGATCCAGTTACGGAGCACCCGGTCAACATAAAACTGGTCTAGGGATTGGATAAGGGTATCAGTGTGCACGTTATTGAAAGCGCCTTCGATGTCAATGCATACTGCCAGTGTATACAGTTTGCTATCGAAAGATTCACTTATGTAGTGGACAACTTCATTTAAAGCGGTCTCCACCGATCGTCCCTTTACATAAGCATGCTGCTTATATTTAAGGTCATTGTATGGTATGCTGCTTTTAACCATGCTATCGACTATCCGTTCCAAGGTTTTAAGTAGGAAGGACGTAAGACTTATCGGTCGATAGGACTTAGGTGTCGCATAGCTAGGTTTCCCTGGTTTGGGTATAAATATTACCCTTGCATCCTGCCATTTAACTGGGGTATATGCCAATTTTAAGCATGCAGTGAATATCTGTGACAGATGTACGGAAACCAGTCCCGCCTCCATCTGCAAAAGTGCCGGGAAAATTCCATCCGGCCCTGCAGCTTTATAGGGAGCAAAGCTCTTGATTGCCCCTTTAACCATGTCAGTTGTAATAACTATTTCCGTGTTACCCTCCCCTTCCTCCAATATCGGTTCATCTATGTTATTCGATATACCGGGTGGGAAATGAGAATCCATTAGGAGTTTCATTGTCTCCTCCATATCCTCAAGCC